CACGTGAGACAAGCAATAGTGTATGCAAATAAGACACATGGGACAAAGCAATGATGTATGCAAATAAAACACGTGAGACAAAGCAATGGTGTATGCAAATAAGACACGTGAGACAAAGAAATGGTATATGCAAATAAGACACGTGAGACAAAGCAATGATGTATGCAAATACGACACGTGAGACAAAGCAATGATGTATGCAAATAAGACACGTGAGACAAAGCAATGGTGTATGCAAATAAGACACGTGAGACAAAGCAATGGTGTACGCAAATAAGACGCGTGAGACAAAGCAATGACGTACTTTTATTTCGACACGGAAATAATTAACACAAAACTAATGTTGCTTGGATTGTTCAAAATAAAAATACAAAAGTGGAACACAAATCCAATAACAGATGGTTATTTATAATAATGACTATACTCAAGTTCACTGCTCGATTAAGTAAACAATACCACTATACAGTAAGACATAAGTACTTGTATTCAGCACAAAGTGAAATAGAAATATATGTGTCAACTACATGATCTATGGTGGAATTTATTTATAAATGTGTGGACGTCATCAACACTAAACATACTAACATACAATATTCGCATATTGGACAAGGATTTTTTTAGAATATGATGTCAAAGATTTGACGTATATTTACATTGTTACAACAAGCTCGTAAAATGGTTTGATGGATAGACACACAGAGTAAACATCGTTATCTGTACAAGCATAACAATAATACCAACACATTTGGCAGTGTTAGTCGGTTAGCACTGTTGATATAAATAACATAGCATAACTATTACAACCTTGCTCATTGAAAATCAGGGCATTATATAACGACTACGAATTCAGAATGGCGACAAACAAAGATACACTCATTGCCTCGTACGATCTTTTCTTTGCTTGTCAAAAATTAGAATAAAATATAATACTGTAATGTAATGCTATATCTAAGCTAAATACTGACTGAAAATAGATGGGAACAATTCTAACCCGAATAAGGACACCATAAATCACATACAAAAAATAAGTAGTAATCATGCTCCTATATTATTACTAAATGCACTGTATTAACCCCAATGTCCCTTATAAAATAATGCTAGTATAACACGAATGGTATAAAAGTCCCCACATAGTACTGCAATATAACTAAGAAAAATTGACAGGAAAAATACTTAAAATGTATCAATTATTCACACAGTTTTATCAATAATAATTAATAATTAATTATTCACAGAATTTTTACTTTCGTTATTCGCACTGACAAGTATGACCCGCTAAATCAAATCAACGTGTAAAATTTAAATATAACCTATTGTATTCTGACAAATTCATTATCTCAGTAAATATGCTAAAATAATAAAAACAGTGGACTTGACTGTAACTGAAAATAAATGCTTTTACAATAAAGGCTTACTTTTTGGCAGAAAAAATGACTAAATAGGATTTTAAATAACATACATGTATCAGTTACTGCACTACCTAATTAACATATCTTGGAGGACAATGTTTTAATTTTCCAAATTGTTACCCATATTTTAACAACATAAGTAGCAGTCACACCAAAATTGTGCTTGGTGGATACTTTATACTGGTTGATAAGATTTCCAGGGAAACAATGTTTGAGTTAATGTCGTCACAAGATTTTATAATTTCACCGATATCTTGAAAAAGATACATGCAAGGCATGCCAAAACGAGGACAGACATGTTCATTTGTATACCTTTCTTTTCATCTCTATTTTCGGCATGGTAAACATGGCAGTAATAAATAAATAATCCAAAAAAACGGATTAAACCATTTCAGCAAAACATGGGGAAAAATAGTTTTTAACTATCTCGATTTTCTCGTTTATATTGACCCAAACCTACAGACAACGGGGTAGTAACTTCTGCAGCCTTGGATGGAAGTCCAGTAACTACTGCACTTGGTTTGGGGTTCCCACGTGTATAACCATTCCTGACGCCATTTCCCACATCTGCCTGCTGGTTAGTTTGAGCGTCACCTCTTATATACTGGCCCGACACTGGAACTGCAGACCCGTGTATACCCTTTTCTGTAATCAATGGATTAACAGCATCAGAGCTTTCCCTGACGTAAGCTTTTTTCAGCGGCTGTTCAGCCGATGAAGACGGCGTGCTGTCGTTCAAAATGGTGTGTTCTAGCAGGTCGGTCGCGATGGCCATTTCGCCGCTATCTTTCGATTCGGGATTAGCGAACTGTTTGTGAATGTCGCTATGGAGTGAATCGCCCGTGCATCCACAGTGTGGTGATGGTTTATCTGATTCAGATGTGTTTTGGATACCAACAGCAGTCTCGTCACTTTCCTCCGCCTTTCTCAAAATGTCATCTGAGTTTTCTTCATCCACAGACTGAAATAAAATCGAAAGAAAGAAAATGAAAAATGACAGAACAATCGGAAACAGAGCATCACCATCTAACGGTTTACTTGAAAGAATTGTAAAATAAACGGCAGCGGCAAATAATATTCGCGATTAATATCGGAGGCAGCCTGTAGTTTTACCATATGTATTAATATTTGTCGAGTGAGCGTTACTAATAATGCGATTTTTTTTGATTATTCATAGTTAATTATACATGTATTATATGACAGGGTATACCTAAATCACAACCCCCATGCTGTCTGTGTTCACCTTCAAATTCGCAATATAATTAGCGATATTGTATTTTTGCATATTTAATGAGATCACATGACAGACAATGATTTGCTCAAAATATTGGCTTTATGTCAATTACTGCAGAAACATATAATTAGCGATATTGTATTTTTGCATAATTAATGAGATCACATGACAGACAATGATTTGCTCAAAATATTGGCTTTATGTCAATTACACTACTCACAATAGAACTCCGGGAATTGAGTTTATGCATAACCAAATAAGGTCACGGCGTTGCATTTTCCATTGTTATTATGCAGTTATTGTTAATATTATTATATTCTATATTAATAAGAGAAGAGAAAGATATGAAATACATATACATTGTACATTATAATTACCTCTTGTACCGGCATATGCGCACGTTTTGATCTTTTATCTAAAAGAGATAAACATAGCAATATCAGTAATCAGTGTTGTCTTGAACCAATACCAGAATTTCAAAATACACACAGTACGAAAACGAGAGATGTCATTCGGAATGGTTATACCACATTGGATGTAAGTGTTTTATTCTAATCGACGGAGAAATATTGATGATAACCCAAACTATTCCAACTATTTCACCAGAATCATCAATTACTAGCCAAAGCACATTGTTTCATTACTGACGTACCACGTCGTTTGTTGTCTTCTGCATCACACATGGCTTGTATCGCATCGTGTCTGTTCATTTCACTTAAGTAATTGACTATGTCAGATACCAGGTAATGAGGGTGCTTCTGTTGTAACACGGAGATCAGTTCCTGTGTTGGACTTGGTCGGTTCTTGAAGAGCTCCTATGAGCAAAATAAGCGTAACAATCGTCAATATATACTATTGCTTTTCAAAGGTCAACTTCGGACTCAATGTCGACGCTGTTTCGGACCATTGCGTCAGAAGTAAAACTCAAACGAGCCACAATTTTACATCTCATTGACCCACGACTACGGTAATTCATTCATCATTCTATTTGTAACTAGTAGCTGTTAACTTTGCAGATCAATAGTGTTTCACTGACATAAAGTTGAGTTAGTTCACCTACCCCAATATCTTTCCATGTAAAGTTAAGTTCGTCTGCCAAATTCTGATAATCGCCAATCGCATTGATAGGGTCCATCTTCATCGCTAGTGCTCTAATCTGGGACGTTGTCAAGTCCATAATATATTTAGGCAACTTTGAACTCTTTAAAAGAAAATCTAATGTTACTCACTACCATCTGATATATGATTTTATATGATACAGCAAATAATTACTGAATAGTCAGTACCGTGACACTTTCCCAACAGCTATCAATTTTCCTACCCTCATTGCCACGTTTTTTTCACGTGGCTAGTTAGATAATACACTGAATGTTTTAATTTAATTTGGAGTGCTAGAAAAGGTCAACATAATTTCCCAATCAACAAATCTTTCTCTAATTTCCAAATTATGTTGACACTAACCATTCAATAGCCAGGAACACGCCTGTTTTATGACTTCACTGCCGAAAATGACTACACCGTCTCCACAACACACTTTCAGGCGAGTTGCTTTTAAGCATGTAGTGGGACAATATGGACAATAGCACTTGTCCTGTATTACCGCGGAAAATAAGCAGCTCTAACGCTGTTGCTGATTGGCAGTTTGGTGCATAGGATGGGTTTCTGACTATAAACATGGAATATTCTGGCGCGTTGTTATTGTAATCGTAAATAAAGAAATGGTATATTTCAGCTGTTATATTTATTGTACTGTATGTTAAATAACAGACCCAACATTAGCCTGATAAGTAGGCGTGAGTGGCGCCCTCGCCGGCCGGTTTGGAGCACCGCGGAGGGCGCAACTCACGCGATATTCATACATATATGCATCAATTTACACGTAAACTTGATGTGTAAAATTTAGTTTATGCTTGCAACATCGATATGGAAAATGTTCAGGCTTATAACTCAATCTTATAACATTTAGAACTACCAATCACCATAAGGACTATCATGGTGTTATACTTGCCTTTTGTTGGATCCTATCGTCATCATCCATATGTTTGATATGTTCATCCTTAAACGAAAAGATGCGATTCATTAGTATGATTTACAACAAAATAATCATATCAAATGAATGGTGTATAAATATATGTTTTAAACTTTGTATTAAAAGCTGTAAATGCTTTGGGTTTGTAGTAGCAACATTGTTCAATTTTCTTGTTGTTTGTGGGTTGTTTGCACCGTCAGGCATGGACCTGGCAGTAAGCGTTTGAACTACAAAGAGTTCCCCAGACAAAGATATTTGCTCAATTCAGCAGTCACCCTACACATCTGGGCATACATGTGTTTCTACCACCACCCTTGCACATCCCCATAGTGTCAGTCTGTCTCGTAGTCTTACATAGATAAATGGTTCTTCTCACCATGCAGAGAAAGAAGCATTGTCAGAGGATATTCAGTTCATACTGGCATTCCTGATCTCAATGCAGATCCAAAATTAAACAGTTGGAACCGCCTACTTTATAATGCCTTGAGAGAGAACCCCGCACTGGCAGAAAGTGATCTAGAACAAACGTTGTGTGAGTATCGGAGAGAGTTTACTACTAATTAAACAATATTACGCAAGATCATACGAATGGTATGAGTGATGTCATCAGGGGGAGTCCTAGTACCCCATCCATTACTGTGATCCGGGCCTCTGCACCACTTGCAAATTGACTTAGAGGCATCTCTGAAGAGGAATATGTAGGCTTAGGCTTAGGTAAGAATAGTTACCTTATGAGCCGAATTTCACAGTGTCACTTGCCAACTGATCAAAGAAGATACCGTTTTTGGTGGCGTTGGCTTCAGCAAGTGCAGTATGTTGCAGGCTCTTTCATTTGCTGAAGATTTAGCAGTATTTCAAGCTGACTCTGTCAATTTGTGATCCAATCGCCTTTTTAGGACTAAGTGCCAGAGGCCATATGAGCCAGCTTCTCCCCTGATAATCCCACGTTTGAATTCAGCTGCCGGGTCAAGGGGAGCCCCTCCCCGGCCCAGTCTCCCATACGTGCACAATGTCATTATCATCCCTGGTCTAACCTAGTCGAAGTTGACTACAGTGTATACTTTGTGTTAATTTGATAAACATATATTGTTGTTATTGATATTGTCAGTTATTACTACTTATTTCGATCAATGATATCTAGACTGATATGAAGCCAAATTTGTGATCTAGGCTCGCTAGAGATCCTATGTAACTACTAATTTGTTCTGGCATCATGCATTGTTGTAAGATGAGTTATCATCCTCCCCATGCCTGGCGATATATTGTAGGGTTTGGATTGTCTTGTTTGTTTGTTACTTTGCCTTGTGTGACGATCTTGGACTAGTGCTGCCTGCAAGATGAGCACAGTGGGTAAAACTCAACCCAATTATAAATCAAAAAAATAATTGCAACAAATAGCGGCAGTGACTGGAAGTGACGACATAAACTACAGGACCTAGGGACATATCGGCACCTTCGAGACCGAGGCCCTGTATATGTACTCACTATGTTATCAGGCATGATGTCTTCACAGTCCACGACGTCAGATTTGTCTTCACTGACGTCACTTACAACACATAACCTAAGACTCACACTGGTTCGTTCGGTGTTGTTTTTTTCTTTCCCGGTTCGTCTCAGATTTTCCAGGTAGGAGAGTGAAAACACTTTAGCCAGATCCTCCACCGAGATAGTTGTGAATTGTACCTCATATCGGGGGTTATCGAGTGCGTTCTTGTATTCATCTTGAGTTGAGTATTTGGTGAATTTCAGCGCCAGCTCACCCGGACACGATTTGCTAGTCTACATAGAGAGCAATAATAACTAATCACAATCAGGCATTTATATCACGTGGGTTAATACGTCATCAGATTCATTCCAATACATGATATATACATATCTTGGATACCGTGCTACTATTATCTGTGTGCCTCGAGATTACTAATAACAGTGATTATATTACATCGCGTCAAATATTAGTGAGAAATGTGCATATTAATTACATTCAGTTGCACTGCACGTGTCGCCTTCAATGTAAAATGCTCGTGATAGCTTAGTGAGTATTCGGCACGCTTCTTATCCAATATTTACATTGTCTAATACACGCCAATGTATATAGACGTTTTCAATATTCTGCCACAATACTGTTACAACACAACACAAACCATATCTATATTTTAAAACGCGTCGTTTTCTTTTTAGTGTACTTACACGCTTCTATAATTCACACAATATGACATGAAACTCACCTGGAAATAGAATTCGCCGACGTTCAACGCGTGCTTGAATGGAAACAAATGCACAATAACTTTGTTGTTTTTTGTCAATGGGAAGTTCTGAAAATAAAGAAAAAAAACATGTGATGGTATTCTACAACGGAATATATGTTGTGTTGATGTGATACAATTATTAGCATTCACAACCATGTTAAAAGACAGTAGTCGTCGCGCCGCGCATGTGCGACATTTGAGTTGATAAACATTGATTTTCCTACAATCCAATGCGCTTTTCTAATGAAATCACATGTACGAGTTTTGCCCTGGGCGCCACTTGCACTAATTACCGCCGGCGACTCTTTCGATACACCCCAAACACACAAAAAAACCTAATTAAAGCTTGGTAACCTTTCAGTTTGTACTAGTTGGTGTGCACAGCAGTAAAAATCGACATCTTTGTTTAGATGAGACCCATATCTTGCGCATGCGTGGCGTGACGATTTCCGCCCTTTAATCCCATATTTATATAAGCAACCAATAGATGTTGTTGTAAATTGTTAAATAAATAACCCCATAACTGCGGTACATACCACCTCTTTCATGCGTTTCAATAGTGTCAACGTCGGTGTCAGATACTTGTGTTTCATTTCTGAAACATCTCCTCCATAGTAATCATCGCACACTTTCTGCAACCAGTAGACCTCCCGTTCTGGATAGTCACATTCATAAGCATATTTCAAGGCGGAGACCATCTCTCGAATGCCCTTAAAATAGAAAACACACATTTTATTGAAGTATACTTTGCATTTAGCAGCAATGACCGTGAAACAGAAAGTATTTTCAACACAGTATTAAGTCTATGCATCGAAAACAATAATATGCGTTCGTTACCTCTTGTCTCGTATCTGCCATGGCAAATGAAGAGTTCTAGATTGTGAACTAAAAAACAAAACAATTAAAAATGGAGTGGTGGTCAATATAACTTGCCTGAACTTTTACTGTCAGGTTTGTGTATGTTCCTTCCATACAAACTGATTGCATACCGGCAAGCTAAGAATGCATTAATAAGACTTCCACGTCACTGATTTGACAAAGCTGTTCGATGATAATCAACTTGTATGGTTAGACACCGAATACAATATAATTACAGTAATTTCTGATTGACTTGAGGGCTTGCCAAGTTTTGCACCATGGCTATCATAATTTTTTGTTGAATTTTTGCAATAAAAATTATCCAAGATGGTGTCTAGAGTATATGTTCATATTAGTCAATCAATCAATAAAACAATCAATGGATGAATGGAGTGCAATTATTCAGATACTGAATGACACTGAGGTGATAAACCCGAGTACAGGTCATTACAAAACAGCGAGGGAGCATTGACGCTTATTGTTTCATTTCCGATATTAATTAATGTCTGTGCAAATGTTGGTTGACAAATAAGTTATTTATGCTGGGGAATTAATTAAAAGTATTTGTGCAAGTCTCTTCTTTTCTTGACGTGCATGTGTACATATTACTACCATTCAAACATCTGTTATTAGTTAGGCACAGCCTAAATGCAATTGTGGGACGCACATAAAATTACCCTGTGCTCCTTCAAAATGTCAAATAAATCATTCTTTAGTATTAAGTAAATAATAATGGCAACAACACCACGTGATCATTTGGCCATTAGATACCGGATGATGAATTGTTGGCAAACCTCCTCACTAGTTTGACGCTTTGTTGTAAAGGAAACTGGGTGCAAGTCTTTTCTACCTCCATGGTGCAAGCGACGTTTGTTGTCCCAAATTAAAACATCACCAAAACAGGTGGGACAAGAATTTCCAGTCATCGACCCCAAATAATCAGTTCGTATACATAAATCATGCCATATAACCACGTTATTCGGTGTTATTGACTTGCTGTCTTACAGTATGCTATAATAAACATGGCGTCACCGGAAGCAAATGAAAAGAAACAAAATAACTAAAATTGTAAACAACAACCATAGTGCTCATTTTTTTTGTTATAACACGAATCACGGCGCCTCGGACAATGAATGGCTGTATCTGCTTCAAGGTCGAATCCTAGTAAATTGTGTAGTGGGTTTCGGGGCTTTCAAGACTGATGACGCAGACAAACATGGTCAACGCATTATTATATACACAGCGGGGGGCACTGTACTACAGATATGACAACTTTAAGTGTACTTGTCCCCAGAGCGCTCTTATCGAAATGTCTTAGACGACAATGAATGCGCATGTTGCGGGCGCAGTGACCCTACTTACTTGACGAACGGCTTATATGACTTCTGCTAGTGTCCAAAGAGCAAATTTCAGCCCGCTAATTCAAAATTAGACTTGGAGCAGCAATTGCGTATGTGCAAGTAAGTCTCGCTTTTCAATAGACATGCGCACTGGTTCATATTGAAACGAAAATAGAATACGGGGAAATACGGAAGCTCGAATGACGTCAGTGAAAGTAACCGAACAAGACACGTACGCACCCCAGAAAACTAAATTAAGGCGTTGATGTATTGATATGTAACCAATTGCATATCGTACTTGCCCGGGTACCCATTCGCACATAGTACAGCTTTTTGACTGCGATTCTCACAACGATATAAAAAAACATCATTCAACAACAACAACAACAAGAATAATAATACGAAGGTCAAAGAATGTCCTTCCGGAGTTGAGTCACTGGATTTTCCCAGCTTGACTTACAACGATTACCCAAGAACTGGTTGGTCTACATTGGTGATATTACTTACTGACGTTTGAACAGGTAGGTAATATGTTTGAATACACGGCTCATTCCAGGAATTCCACATCTGGAATTAGGATGGCAGTGCTCCACTGCCAGTTGGCCTAAATTTTTGCGACGGAAAATGGCTGAAAATCTTAAACTTGAGGGGCAAAATTATCGACTCGATCATGAATATCGGGCCGTAACAGGGCGCATACTTCAAAACACAAAGCCCCAACACAACTATGGGATTACACAAATTCAGGCCACATCAATACTGTCGGTTTAAACAAACTGAAGTCCTCGAGAATATGTCTCTCATAAATTCAGCGGCACCAGCACAACGCACCATGCACGTTGGAAACTGAATATTGTAGTCGCCGTGGACAAAACGTTGTTGAGTTCGAGTGTTGTTTGCGTACCACACTTCTGAAGTATGTGGTGGTTAAAAGGTCCGTTGAATACTTACAACGACTATAGCAATGAATATCTTTAAAACTACCGCCGTATATTACGTGTATAATTATCATTTCATTAAGCTGGATGAAGTTGTACCTTGTTGTTTGAATAATATCGTTTAAGAAGTGTTCAGGCGCGAGCGAAACCATGATATAAATCGCACCGACTATACAACGCCCTCTCTGTCGAACCTAGAACTATTTTAATACAAGGACGAGTCACGTGATGGCATATTTCAAATGATCATGTGGAGCTGAATCACGACTCAGTGATGCAAACAGATGATACCTTATTTTGTTGTAAACACAAATAATTTGAGAAATGGTTAGGTGTTGTATAAAAAATGTTGGCGTCGACTATTCAAATAGTTGTAATGGACGATTGCGCAATATATACATAACTCTTGACATTGGACACAAAATACACGTGCCACGTATATCATGACAGTTCATTGTAATAAGACAGTGTAATATAATTGTTGTTTGTGTGTTATGATTCCGCTTATGCAAAGACCAATTCTGTGGGATTTTCGGATTAACTGTTACCAATAAATAATACATCAACAAACCCGTACATACATTGCTGGCTTCAAAAAATAAACATATTCCTGAACCACATGAGGGCGGTATTTGGTGCTCTTCAACGTTCTACGATGGCAGTAAATTCGATGATTCGTATTTTATTTGTTTTACGTTTAAAGGGCGGCGTTCGCTGCGCCGCGTCCTGTTCGATATGGGACGTACACACCGCGTGTAAAATATATTGTTTGTTTACATGAAATTCGAACACGCGCTGCAGGACGACCACCGCGCTTTAAAAGCAGCGATACATATATATGAGATAAACCTTATATTAATTTCGTGGTTATATACAATTAACTAAATATCTTTATATCTTAGATATTATTTACTTCTTAGTTTCCGCCGTTGGTTTAACAGTAAACGCCAACGCCATCGAACTATTGACATATACAACATGATTTAGATATCAGCAGCTTTTTAAGTAACTTTTTTTTAGTCGTGTCCAATGCTAGGGCCGACTTTAAGCACTGATGCCGTCTTTTCAGACACCCCTTTAATTTTCTGATCTGTTCTATATCCCTGCTTGACATACGCCCTCAAGCGTGATCCACAGTAAATTTATTGTTCATTTCATCGTACTGACTTTCTAAATTCCGGGCTTACAGGCAACCCATGACATAATACCACCACTCGAAAAAACCGCAGGGAACCGGGCATAATTGTGAATGAAAATGTGATGTTTGAACATGTGTTTGGAATTTTATTTAGGTATTAGCATGGAAAATATGTCGATGGTCCCCTGTCCCGGAAGCTGTATCCCAAGCAACCACGTGTTGTTTAAATGACAATGCTTTGAAAAAATGATAACTTTGTTAAATGTGACGACACATGCAGACACATGCAGACAGATACAACATGTGAAATGGTGTCTTGATTATGCGTGTACCGGTTATGATTGAACGTGCTTCTGAATTCAGTTTATTTCGTTGTATTTTATTGAAGAAAGTAAGTTGTTAATGAAAGAAATCTCCGATCCGGTGCCTGTTCTCTCGATATCTGTGGGTACCAGAAACGATGTGTTGAATGAAGCGAGCCCACTCCCCACTCAAATATTATTTAGAATATGTTGATTACTTTGAGCTCCCTACCCAGCAATTGTGTTTGTTTTCAGGCAGTTGGCTTAATTTTAACAACTGACGCACCGCTTACAATTTTTTTTAGAAACGACGCAAGTTTTTGCACAATATCCCTTCCTTATCATTACGTGTATAAATCAAAACTATTTGCACTCAAATAGATGTGAGTACACGACACATCGAAATTTGAATGAAAGTATAATTATCTGGGGAGTGAATGCAAATATTTGGAAGCCGACCTTTCCTGATAGACTTGGCAGGGATTACATGGTTTCGCTGTATTTAGATTGTCATATAAAATAAACCTCTCGATGGTCGACGTTATGTGAAACTTCCTGTCAACATCCTGACTTCAACATGATTGTGCACATATATTTGTCTAAATTTGTGACGACAGTTGGAATTTGAAGTTGATTGTGGCAATCGCGATACATTTTTTATAGTATTTTTTTCATTTATAATATTTTTCTATCAAACCTTCGATTTACCGAGCAAATCTGTGAACCATTTACCTCAATTTGTTTCAAATAAACTGTCATCTTTTATTATAGTTTTCACATTGCTTTTAACATTGCGGTAAATGTTGTTGTATTTCTGGTCTTGTTTTGTAATGTTGTTAGTGATTTTAGAACAGTTATCCAAAACATGGCTAACATTGAAATGTTTTTGGTCATACCTACTAGTATCCCAGTCCGACTCTTTGTAATTGGTAATTTTCTAGTCTATAAAGAGAAATATGTAATTGCATTATTGGCAGTGTATACTATTAGTATATATGTAAGTACACAATTGAGTTGAATTATATTAATTTATGTTTTTTTTGTTCCAGATAGTTGACAAACTAAAGACATATTTAAAGATGAGTGAAGACCAGGGAAAGCTGCTTCAAGCTGTCACTAAATTACGTAACTTGATCGATCGCGGCAAACTGGTTCTTGTGATTGGGGAAGGGGCTTCTATTTTACCACAACCTGCCACAATTGATGACTGGTGGACGCTGTTTCCCAACTTACAAAATGAGGTACATTCACATAAATAGTATAGGTACATTTACGAGTATTTGGTAGATGTCCCTTATATACATAAACAAATCAATACAATATAATAGCGGCGAAAACAATGCACTTCTCGTTTGGAAATGATTGGATACATAATTCAGTTAGTGCTGCTCGAGTTTCCTTCATACATCTAAAATAGAATGTACTTGGTTCTGCAGTTAATCTGCAGTTAATCTACACACATTTGGATTTTTACTTGCAAGTTTATGACAAGAATATGTCTTCACATCTTCTGCTACTTGACAAATTCAGGAAGTGTCACATATCCTAGATTTCATAACTCCCGGGGTACATCACATGCCCAAGCGGGGTACTATGGAGTGAGGTAATATGATTTAACGCTGACAAATGCAGCGGTTAAACTAATTTGTATCTGTGTTATAACAGTACAACAGAATGATTGTAACAATGCTTAGATTTTGTTTGATATATGCGACTATATATATTTTTATAATTGCATAATAACTGTAATTTGTTATTCCTCAGAATGTTGCAGACATCCTTATTACAAAAGAACAATCCTACCTCGGCAAGCAGCAACATGGTCAATCTAGATTCCACAGTGTTCTTCGAGCTTTGGGTAAATTCCCACTAATCATTACCACTAACCTTGATGAACTTTTAGAACGCTTTCTCTGGAACAATGGTACGGACGGAGAAAAAATGTGCTTGAATCAGGTAATGTACCTAACAACTTGTAATGTTGAAAATATTAATCTGTCCATCTAAAAGCATCTAATAACAAATTATATATAGACCTTACAATTATTTGATTAGAATATCTTTCCGATATATTGCAGATTGCGAAGCTGAAAAATTGTTGGTCAAATTATCATCGTGGCTTCATTGTTAAATGTTTTGGTGACTCAGGATTTCAGACAAGAGCATCTGTAAGTATATACAGACCGTGATAGCCACATTTATTTATTGTTTTATGTAAGATACTTATTTTAAAATCGAATTGTCTATACGTTTAATTCTGATTGACTAATATTTTATATTAATTTATTGAGATGTGAACTGATGTATACATTTCTGGTTTATTGATTACGTGATATAATAGCGCATATGAGTTTTAAACAAACTTTCAACTTCTCTATTTTTTAATATAATAAGCGAATATAAATCACACGATTCTATTCCGTAGGAATCACATAAAGAATACTTCTACTCATTGTGTGAAAAGCAGAGCTGCGATGAAAACAGTAAATTTATCCGTCAATTATTCGACGAATGCAGTGTTCTTTTTCTCGGTGTTGACGCAGACCACCCGCTTTATCAGCGTTTTATTAACAAGTTTGCCGTTTCCGCTAAGGTTTGTTAATACATATACCAGTATTTGTTAATACATTTACTAGTTTCTATTACTATCCTATATCACATCCTAAAATGTTTAAAACTTACTTTTAACAAATACATGTTTTTATATATCAACCAGCCATAATATTACCACCGTTGGTCATGTGAATCATTCTTGTGGCCGTACGTTTTTACCTGCAAATCCTCACATTGCTCTTTGTCTATATGCATATTGTAAACTGTGCTACTTGTAAACCACTATGCACAATCAGATTGTGGTCCTTGGCTAAGACTCAGCAGCTTTAGTTATGGTGCATTATCTGGAGTTGTGCAATATAAGGAGATGCAGCTCAAATACAAAAGAAAACTTAACAAGGGTAGAATTTGAATCCGACAATCCAGCAGAACCTTTAACGACCGAGTTATTGCAGTTTCCAATAGCGATTCTTTTAAACAGACTCGTATACACTCTCTAAATCGTATGATTACCTGTACTAACCAATAAAATACATATAACAAGATAAAATAGATATATATTATACATTATAATTTCATAAATGTTATTTATTTTTCTATACTAGACCACTCATTACATTTTCAAACAAGGTGAATCTAACGAGAGGACATTCCAGCAGCATGGCAGTCTATTGAAACTCACTGTGGATTTAGAAATATGGGAATTTGCACAACACTTGAGCAGCGGCAAGGGAATACAAAATATTGACGACATTCAACATGGCAAGGTATATATAATATTTGATTCGCTCAGTGTGATGTTACTGATGAAATTTTAGAATACTCGCCGTCATATCATGCGACCTTCCGTACTTACTGTCTGTGCCAGGAGTAGATTTGCTATAATATGACTTCCATTTATGATCGGTGTACAACATGTCTCTATGGATTGGATTTGATTATATAAGAATGCTATATAAAAGTGAAATAAGGGGCATACACATTTTACAAGTGTTTCATCAATAATACGCCAGATAACAAGTACACAGGACAGTTGTGATATGTGCTACGCATACAGGACTTTTGACTAATATGAAAACAGCATATTGGTATTGAAATATATGTTTATATTATTATTATTTATTGTTAATTGTAGATTTATGAGATTTCGTTTCTGGCAACCCAGCGTGAGAGTTACTTAAAACAACAGCTTCTACTAGAACAACATGCTACAGAAATTGCATACCATACTACTAACATAACGAATGCACTGACAACGGATGAATTATTAGAGAAAGCTTTCAGACCTTCACTTGTCAATATTTACAAGAAAGACCCATTCGGTTAGTAAAATTTCATACACGAACTCGTAGTCAACATGGTGTAATATAGACTGTTGTGAATGTGCACAAATTGAGGATATCTCCACCTTAAATATCTACATATATCTACAAGGCTATAGGTTTCCTTCTATCATGCTGCCATTCTTAAAAGACTTGCAGATCTGTAATTTGGTAATTTTGCCTGTTGATACAATACAATAATTAAAATATCGTATTTATATATCTGATTTTCATGTCAGTGAATTTTTATTGTAATATGTATGCTAGGTAGCTTCTCGGACAACACGGTTGACAAATGTCTTGAGGCAATGCATAAGAGGAAGCAACACCTCATTCAGGTATGTGTTCTATTAGTGTTATATTTTAGAAAACAAAATTTATTTCTTCCTAACATTGATGAACACGTTTTCACTAATGTTAGTTCGTATGTAGAATGATAGAAGGAGAGATATTCTGTAGTATGAAGGATGATCATTAGGGAAATACTCTTAAATGGAAACTAATGGTTTTTAACCTTGGTTGAACGTGTATGGTACAGGCTATCAACAATGGAATAAAGGTCATCGCTGTGTTCTCTATGAAGAAGTGCTGGCGGAAATCGACCCTGCCAAACAGAAGGATGAAGAGAAGAGAAAGATGGCTCTTCGAAAACACGCACAGGCTATTTTACTGTGCAATACCCTCTTGAAAACAAAGAGTTCTCTTGAATTGCTGATGGTAGAAGGCAAAGAGAAAGACTCTACAGACACGCAGAGACTTAAGAAAGAAACGTTTGCGATTATAAAATTGAAGGGTACATATACTAACGGTTATTTATTTTAAATCAAAGTTGTATATATTCGAACCACCTAATGTGTCTTCAATATCTGAACTAGTGTAGCTACAATTATAGCGTGTAACACGCTTAAACATAACAATATAAACCGAATAATGAATGGCTAAATTGATAGAATCACGCTGAGAGGAGAATATCCTTTGAAAGATCTAGAGTGAACAAATACACACATATGAAGCATGATTGACACAATTCTATATATTCATACAATGTATAGTGAATTTCGTATATATAGATTGGCTATAATGATTCTATTCATATCTTATTCAAATTTATATTGTAGGAGGTATAGACGAAGCCAGTTGTTACGCAGAAACTGCAACAGAAGGCCAAAAATCTGTCAACGTGACAACTCATTTAGTCGTTATCAACGGTGAGGAAGTTGCTAGGAGAAGGAAAATATTTGACACAAGTCGTGAACGAGCATGGGACTGTGATAGAAGTGTATTGAAACTTACAGCAGCGGTTTTACAATACAACAAAGGAGTTGATGCAATTGATGTGAGTGAGTGTATTCTTCATCGTTTAGCGGGATTGCAGGTATTCTTTATTTGTCTACTTTGATTTTTGTCATCTATTGATTTAATTTCTTCTCATTTAAGTCGGAAGATCTTAAACGGCTAAAAAGTCTCCATGATGTGCACTTGATTGTTGACAAGGACAATATAATTCCAAGTAAATTGGAACCTCTAGGAAAAGGTCAGTTTGGTGAAGTATACAAGGTGGTGGACGGAAAAGGGCATACATATGCCTTAAAAGTATTAAAAGAGCTAGACGAAGCTGACTTTAATCAACTGATTGATTTCAGACGAGAAGTTGACACTTTAAGGTATATAATGCTGCATGTAACACTTTTGTTTATCGATAAACATCTAGATATTGTACTAATTCTCGTCTTAGAATCACCAGTCGATCTCGTCTATGGCTGCATTGAGATGTAATCCAGGGTTTTGTTGTACTTTTTACAGAAAGGCTTCTCATCCTAATATCATAAAATTGGACGACGTTGAGAGACAAGGAAATCGACTCTGTCTGAAATTGGAGTTCATAGATGGATGTGACCTGCGTAAACTCATTCAACCAGTGGATGGGAAACCTAAACCCCAAAGCAACAGTTTCACTTTGAAATGTGCAACGCAAATCGGTTCTGCATTGGCACATTTGCATAAACTAGGAATCGTTCATAGGGACGTTAAGGCAGAAAATGTTCTAGTGAGTAAACATTTAAACGAATCACCATATTCTTTTTTAAACTTTGGTGTAAAATTCGTAACAATATTTCAAAAATTCGCTTTTCATTGCAGGCCACCAAAGACCAAATGACATTCAAACTTGGAGACTTTGGCTTAGCTCGTACGACGCGGGGCACTTTGAGTAGAAAAACTATGGTTGGATCTATGCGTTATATGGCTCCTGAAGTAAAGACCACTGGTGGATTGAACTACTCTGGGAAAGCTGACATTTATAGTTATGGTAATTACACCAATAATGAATTGTTTGCTGGATTGTTACACACTGAAGTCACGTGATTAAATCTTATGTTTTCATATTATGACTCAAAGATCAGTCAGTTTATTTCACATTACATTTTTACTTAATTGTCTATAGATAATAAATTAAATACTAACCTTATTTATATTCGCCATTTTGAAACTAGTATGTTGCATTACAGGGCTTATGTTGATCGAGGTGGTGTCTGGTAATTACATATTTGCAAATATCGAAGATGCTGAAATGGTGTATAATCAAAAGGAATCGTTAGTCCCACCAATTCCTGTAAGTAGTAGACATTATCGCAGATTGTACACATATTTACCACGAATAGGTTTCTAAATACTAATTGTTCTTCGTGTAGGCATCCTGCGAGTCGTCACATGGTATTGCGATGAAGACTGTTATCGAGCTTTGCCTTAAGCCTCACAGAAAACGACCGAGTATGGATGTGATCTTAGGCACCCTGATATCCACTGGGGAACCTGACGCTGGTGTAAATTTGAAAACTAACTCAGATGCAGATAGTGTCGAACTTGTTTGTCTTGGGACAGGAAAGGGAACAACTGGTTAGTCACTCGAAGTATTATTATTCAGCTTTAATTGGCTTGCCCGTAATGTAGTGAAGGGAAAGTCATATTAGAGGAAAAATGTCTAGCATCGTCGTCGCTTTTTTTTACGATAACTAATAATATTTAGCCAATAACTAATAATATTTAGCCAATCGCTGTCAAACGTAATATATATATATATATATATATATATATATATATATATATATATATATATATATATATATATATATATATATATATATATATATATATATATATATGGCATATGGCTATCTGTAGGTATAACTGGCCTGTATAGATTTTGGAGTTTATCTTCTAACAATTGTATGTTGGGTGATTTTTGAATGTGTATATTGGAAAACTTCAGGGTGTAGTGGTTAACCTTTGCTCAGCAATTGGGCGATCGAGAAAATCCCATGCTAGAAACTTTTAGTTCTTTATATTATTATTTTTTGAATGCGAATTTGTTTTAGTTTTCAAGTGTTTTTAGTTTCAAATTATTTGTTGCCCTTTCAGCATTTTCTTTGATTTTCTTATGTCACATTGTTTTGTAAATGTTAACAATAGAGGGCGTCCTTTAATTGTTTTGTTCAATAACGTCAGTGTTTAACATTTTCAATGAATACCCAACTAACCTAATCTACTGTTCTATTTTTAACCATTTTAAGGGGACAGTGCTGGTATTAATTATGGCTAAACCATTCAGCAAAATATGGATAGATGTGCAGTCATGATTTCTAGCAATTTAACTAATCCTATTTTGGGAATACAAGGGTCAGGTCATTGAACTTAAATTAAACAGCATAGATAACTTAAACACTTTTGTCCCGTGTTACTGTACATAATGCACACAATACATAACTCTTGCTTTTGAATTCTTTTAAATAGTTTCTTTAAAGAGCCATTATGAGTAACTGCAAAAACAGGAAAATCAGAATTAACAAGTGTATAATTCACACACTGTAAAGTCACGGTAGGTTGTCTGGATTTCACCCACTAAGCAATTTTTTTATTTTTCAGCTGTACTATCTGGAGATCCAAGTTCATCATTCGTTATTCAGGTTAACGGAAAACGATTATTGTTGGTTGATGTCGGTCTTGGTGTTTTAAAGTCGTATAAAGAATATATTGGTCAGTTGCTATGGTTACTCTATTTGTGTTTTGTATCTGTTGCTTGGCAATGTGTGACGTTGAGCGTTACCACAATTCGCATGTTCTTTATTGCATTATACAACATAATATATAAATGAATGTATTACATGCAGTGGATTAAGTGTTTAGTGAAATGAAAACGGAGCAAGAAACAAAATATAAATCAAATCCGTATCAACAGAGGACCATTCATTGGCATATTATTAAATTCCAAGTATAAAAGACGGTATTAGAAACATTATTTTGGTGCGCTGTGTCTCCGTAGATGTGGCTTTATATACATATTTACACTTTCCACCCAATACCAATACGAAATGTGGTGATTAACGTACGGACCAATCAGAATATTTTTTTACTTATTACATAGTCAAGATTCCATTTTTCTCTGTGTAAATCAATTGTAATGATCGTAATCATGCCTGGAAGTTCTTATTAAAAGATAAATTAAAATTACAAGCACATATACGAACATATAAACACGAAACAACAACGCGCTCCTTGTTACGCGACGTCGCACTATATCAAAAATAAAATAAAATAATATATTGAAATAGCGTGTAGTAGTATAATTTTCATAATTCATATAATAATATAATTATTCTGTTAGACCACATGCAGTTAAACTTTCTGTTCTAAACTCATCACAGGAGAGCTATTTCCACCGAATATATTCGTCACTCACAATCATTCGGATCATGCTGCTGAGCTTCCACTAGGATTGACTCTGTTTGCTGCAAAGTTACTGGAAGTTCAAAAGGGTATAAGGATTAGCATTTTGGCGGGACCGGAAGTAATCACAAAATTAAGAGATCACCGTATGGATGAAGTATACAGCGGAATATCAAAGGTAGCCGTCTTTTAAAATATATGATATCATGTATTTTGAAGACTAAATCATCCACGAGAAAATTGTATTGTATATTATATTGTATATGTAGCCAGGTGGTTCCAGAACTACTTTGAACAAACTCCGGTTGGGCCTATAACTACCTCGCTTGACTCGACGTTTATGCGCCAAATATTTACAGCACAATACAACAGCGTGATATAATGTTTTTTTCTTTAATTATGTACATTGATTGCATCGTCATGAAAAGTGGGCACACTTTCGTCGTTGTGACAACATTTAGTTGTTATAACAACGGGGAACCTGTCATCTATCGATCACGAAAATTAGCATATTACGATAAAATCGTTACTAGCTAGCCCTAATTAATTGCCAATTAACCTCACAGTCCTCCACTTACCGAGAAGGTCAAAATATTAGTAGCCATTGAAGAAGTATAGTAGTAGGGTACCAAGGCTAATATGTAAGTGGCCGTGACCTAGGATTAATGCCTTTTGATTTATTTTTTAGAAACAACTTGAATCGTTTGTTCAGTGGACAGAATGCCGTGAAGCTGACCGCGTCTATTTAGACAGTGACAAAGTATATTGTCTTCAAACATTCAAGAGTCAACATTCAGAAACATGTTATGGTAAGAGACATTTCATAGCGAGTTTTTTATTGAATTGTTCCCCTGACGTACACAGCATGGCACTTCGCTACACTATGACATAGCCATCGTCAGTAGGAGGGCGCCGGGTTTGATATTCTGTTCTAAATAGTAACATATTTTTGTGCATTTACAGGTTTTCTTCTGTATTCCAATGGTATTCCTATTCTTGGTTACACTGCGGATTCTGGTTATAACGAAGCATTATATGGGAATATATTTAGTGCCACTACAGTTATTATTGATGCACGAATAAATGGCAACGCTGAACATGCTTCGGTATGTTGAGTATGTTTACTTACATTATAAGATGTATTCACCCACACGGTCAAATATCAAAATTCCTTTGTTTTAAACTATTACATTAATTACGATGACTGTGTAACAAAGTTGGCAGATGTAGAATGGTGATAACTAATTATATTGACGGCGACACTGAATACATAAAATATGGGACTTCAAGAACTGACCAATCCCAGTAATTTCGACTAAAGTTTAAAGTGTCTGAAATTAACGCCAACATTTTAGCGTCTTGAAAACCAGAGAAATCATATGTTTTAACATGTGTGTAAAATCTACATGTGTGTAATCCTACTTATAATTTGTCAAATGATATTTATTATTTTGTTCTACAGCATGTGTTGCGTAGATCGTATAAGGCGTCAGATCCTTATAGCGATTGTTGTACGTGTTTCCAATAGTAGATCTAGCTGAGCAATATATATTCTTTTAAATTACTTGCTCGTCTTCTCTCAATTTCCGGTAGAAATAACTATTTTAATGATTTTATTAATTGCAGTTTGATGAAATAATTGCATATACAGAAAAAATACAGGTTGGTAACATAGTATAATATTCAGAAATTATGTTTTAGCTGCGAATACCGCCATGACCTCCATTCTTATCTTTATGTAGCGGTGTAGAATCTTTGAATAAATTTATTATACGGCTAATGATAAATGACAACAAGGTAACTGCATAATACCGCGTCACCGCCATATCATGTAACTATTGTTTCCGGGGCAATAAAGCACGCATTTATTTTGCAGGAGAAAAAGAAATATCTGATCAGCGGATATGGTACACCAGAAGAGTGGCCGCAAAGGAAGGACATGTCTCATTTAAAGCAAATGCACCAGGGCGCCGCGTATGCGCTATGGCCTTTCGATAAATGGGACGAAGAAATCCGTGGTTCTGATAAATTGGCGCCTGAATTTCAGAGATACAAAAAGGTTGAAGACGCAATATAGAATGTGTCAAATAGTATAACATATATTTAATATATTTAGTGTTTATTCAGTGTTTTCCATTTTTAGTCCCCGTTCGGACGCAGTCCGAAAACGGGGACTTATGTTTTGACCTCTGTGTGTCCGTGCGTGCGTGCGTGCGTGCGTCCGAACCTGTATCTTAGAAATGCCTGGATCAATCATAATCAAATTTCACACATACATCATACATGATATTATACATATGCACGTCAATTTGTTTCACGATCTGATTCAAGATGGCCGAATGGTGGCCATTTTTGTGCTAAAAATCCTAAAAATCAACCATTTCTCGGCTGTTTACAGATGGATTTTGTTTAAACTTGGTATATACATTAGACATTATGGGACCTTGATGCAAATAATTTAGTTTTTCACTGATTATGTTCAAATTTTAAATATTCATTATACATTATGTCATAGATAGACAAATATATTGGTTTGACGATCCACTTCAAAATGGCCAAATGGTGGCCTTTTTTGTGCTAAACAATCATCAAATATCAAGCATTTCTGGCATTTATGGATAGATTTCGTTCAAACTTGGTACATATATTAGACATTACAGGTTCCTGATGCACATCATTTATTTTTCAGATCGGATTCAAAATGGCTGTCTGGCGGCCATTTTGTTTTAATGAATGGGCTTGTAGACCCATATCTCCGACTTGTTTTGACTGATATTTTCAAATTTTAAATATTCATTATACATCATGTCATAGATAAACAGGTATATTGGTTTAAATATCCTATTCAAAATGGCCGAATGGTGGTAATTTTTGTGCTAAAAATCATCAAATATCAAGCATTTATGGGTGGATTTCGTTCAAACTTGGTACATACATTAGACTTTACGGGTTCCTGGTGCACGTCATTTTGTTTTTCAGATCAGACCCAAATGGCTGTCCGGTGGCCATTTTGTTTTAATGAATAGGTTTCCAGACCCATATGTCTGACTTGTTTTGACTGATTATGTTCAAATTTGTAATATTCATTATACATCATGTCACAGATATACGGATATATTGGTTTGACGATCCTTTTCAAAGTGGCCTAATGGTGGCTATGTTTGTGCTAAAAAACTTGTTTTATTTTTTAGATCGGATTCTCATATATATATATATATATATATATATATATATATATATATATATATATATATATATATATATATATATATATATATATATATATGTGTGTGTGTGTGTGTGTATATATATATATACATGTATTCAAAATGGCTGATTTTGAATGCTGTTCCAGAGCAATATCTCTCAATATGGACAAGTACTTGTTTGACGATCAGATACAAATGTCAATCATTTTAATGTTAAAAAATCATATTCCTGACATGGTTATATTCAAGCTATATTACTATAAACAAAACTATATATTATAAATTTGATAACTAACGGGGTCTGTGCCATGCATGGATTGTTTTAAACTAACATTGCATCTGATAGGCGAAAACGTTTAGATTTAGGCAATATTTGGTAGTTATTTTCTTAACCGTATCGCATTTTTATTATCTGGGACTTGTAGCATAGGTTTTGTCATCATTAAATTGAGTACAGAGAACGATTCCGT